GGATGTGAATATTGCATGGCATTGTGATTGTGGAACGGAGCGGAGGTCGTATGGAAGTATCGCCATTTGGTGTCGTCAGTTGGATGCAAAGTGGAATTGGCGTGTGTTGGCCATGGTCAGCACAGCAGTGTGCTTGATGAGGAGGCCATGGAATGGAGGTGTTGCTGTTGCTCTCTTCGTGTAGACGAGAAAGTGACGACGTTTGTGGTGCCGAGGGAGGAAGCAGGCAAATCACATCTGTTGGTGGTGTACAGAGAAGAGGAGAGGCAGACAAAATGGATAGAGTGGGAGGAGGAGTAAGAGGAGGAGCAGGAGGAGGAGCAGGAGGAGGAGAAGAGTGATGGTGGACATGCTGCACATTGCCTTCCTGTTTGTTATCCAGAAGGAATTGAGCAGTTCCGTAAGTGTATCCTTTCTTCCTTTCTCGCCTTCTTCTCTCTCTCTCTTCATTTCCATCCATACTGCGCACCTCGCATGTGCTATTTCGTGTCAATTGTAGTCCACCTACCACATCCACTGAGGCGCCCAAATAGTGAGAGAATAGATTTGCGTGTTTCATGCTGCCCGTATTGACTAGGCTGATGTTGGTGTGGTGAGATAAGTGGGTAGACTGGAAGTACAAGAAGTGCATTTACACACGTTGTAGTGATGCCCCAATCCGCTTCTCCTTTGCATCACATCCCTTCCAATCACCATTATCCACCAATGGCGAAAAGTTGCGTAATGGATGCGACCACCACCACCGCACCGTCTCTCTTGATTACCATGCCACACTTCGGTAAGCCTCAGTATTATTCCACCAATGCATGCTATTCCAATGTTGCGTGTTGTCAATCATTGTTGTGACTTCAATTCCAAGGCGACTGGTGAATGTCCCATTGTGCTTTTGTTCGTTGCAGTGTATGCAGCAGCTGACGTGTTGGCCATGCAAATCGTAGAATATTATGAAGGTGGTTGTGTTTCACATTGTGATTGGCATACTGAGTTGAGAGGAGAGATGCCTGTTAGTGAGGAAAAGAGTTTAGCAATCTCATATCCCTTCTGGAAAAGATGAAGACACAAGTATGCACACAACTGATGTGCGTGGATAAATGTATTTCATCAGTGTGTGCATATTTACAGGTGATAGCTTGTGGGATGAGAAGCAGGCAGCCGATGGAAAGCAGGTGGAGTGACGCTGAGGTGAGTATTAGAGTGCATAGGAAAACAAAAACTGGGGTAAATAAGAGAGATGAAGAGGGCATGGTGGAAATAAAAGCGGAGGCGAAAGTGGAGGTGACAAAGAGGAAAGCAGAAAAATAAGACGGTGAGGGTGTTTGAGGCTTCATTAGCGTGTGAGATGGACCACTCTCATCTTGCCTGGCTTCGTGGGTGTGACCAAAAGGCGATTGAATATGCTGTCAATAGGGATTGTCAAGACGAAAAACTTCACTATCATAAGTGCCTTACCCTTCCCTTTTTCCTCTTTTTCGCATGAATAGCACCCTTAGTTTAGTGCGATATTTAATGGTGTGTCGTGAAGCCAACCGTGACTAGTTTTGAACATGTCGCAATTGGACTTGGAGTAATCCTTACATAAAATCCCGCAATACAGCAGTACACAAGTAATTTTACTCCACTGATTGCATTTAACCAAGTTTAGCTACAAGTGCAATTGGCGCTTATAATATGTGCGTGTGACGTGTAGAATACAGCAAATTGAATCAACTCTGCCCCTTCTAAATACACTCAAATCCATCCCTCTTCTACCAAATCCGTTTCACAGAGGATGCACATTTAAATCCTCTCAAATAAATTATCAAGATGTGCTACTAGTAATTAAGTATGTAGTATTTGTTAAATGATGACATCACCTGCACCACATCACCTTTAATGCAGTCTCATACTTGAGACTTGTAATGGCTAAAGCAGAAGCAAACGATAGCACTCCTCAGAGTCAGAAGAAGAGGAAGAAGGTCATGCATTATACCAATGTATGTTTAAATGGAACCACTGAATGAGCGGATTCCCTCGTCTCCACAGTTGTACTTGTGTGCTGAGGATACAGCAACTCCTGCTTCACCCCCACTCGCCTTTACTCTAGTGATAAACAACTCTTTCCTAGTGGCGCAGAACTCCAAACTCAACCTTTATCTAAGCTGTGGGAGCAGTTTAGTGTTCTCTATTAAGATGCGCATGAAGTAAAACGCACAGCAAGATCTATTCTTAGTTGGTTCGACTTTAAATGGCGTTCCCGAATACAAAGTATGTCGCCTTAATACTCTTAACAACATATAGTACGAAACACAATAAGGAGCGAATCGCGCACCCATCCCTGCAACTTAGAATTCAAGTCCAGCTTTTGTGACAAAGCTGTCAAGCTAGTCGTTAGTATTGTAAACCATTGGGCGACAGAATATTCGGGGGATATATTTCTTAAAGGTCTACAAATCCCAAAGCCACGGCAACAATTTTGATTCGTAAAGGTAAAATCAGCGTTCCAAAGCAAGGTTAGATGCGTCATTTACAAGGACAAAATTTTGCATGGTCGAAAATTATCATGGATTGCCAGATTATGCTGTAATCACTTTTAGGCATCTAAATGCTATTGTTCTGTATCAACGTCTGTATTCAGTTTTAAAAAATATTACGAATAGGGAAAAAATATAGCACTGCACATAACCATAAGTTACCTTCTCTTCAAAGGACGCTGTCTGTGATATCGCGCGGATTGTCCTCAGTCCGTTGATCCCAAGGGTAGTGTCACTGCAAAATTAAAACACTCATTCCTGGGTGGTGGCTTTAAACCACCATTTCGCAGCATTTGTAGTAGTATGCGTACTTTATTATTATTGTTACTAAAACTACAAACTACATAACACTAACTGCAAGGTCTGAAAGCAAGAAGAAACACTGTTCAAAATTTTATTTGAATTTAGGTATTTATAAAAGAGGCTAAAACAGTTGACAGTCTTTACAAGTTTGTTAATGGAATAATTGCATTTTCAAAGGAACAAGTTTAATTAATTCATCTTAAAGTTGTTATGTGCTTTTGAATTTTTGTTTTATTTGGCATAAATTTTATGGGTAAAAAAGTTTTGCATCCTTTGTACAAGTGACACTTGTAGGTTTAGATTGCATGACACAAACCAAAAGTCCTTACACTACTTTCCCGGTACAAAACATAAGCACAAGTCATTTGCGAGGGAAGGAACACCCTTCTCCTCCCTTAACTTGACAACATTCTATGCCTTTGTGTGAAGGTCCTAGGCCTCTTGGAGAGGTGCAAAGCCTGTTGTTCGTCACTCTAGGCTAGCCGAGTGCTGCAGCTCGTTGCTTCCACCCTCTCTTTGTTTTGTCCTGAATAATGTACGTATCGGATGTCATTTTGTGGCAGGAGAGAAGGTGGATTTTTACGGTCATTCCAACATGTTTGGACCTAATAATTTGAAATGACAAGTCATAGTTGTATGGAGTACAATTCAGCTGTCGTATGTCCTACCAACATGCAGTGTAGGGTATGGGATATCGGCAGGCGTGTGGATGAGAAACAGACTGCTGTGAGGACTTTGACTGTTACGAAATCGGGAGCTACCATTATCCATGGCGATGTGTGCCAAAGCGAGTTTAGTAATAACGGAGCATAATGGGCATTTTGACTAAGCTTAAGGCTTTTGACTGCATTCACTTTTGTGGCTACCCACAGTAAATTAGCTATTAGAGTGACTCCCACTTGAGGTTTGATAGAGCACTGTCCTAGTCACCTCATTTGGTGACACGAGAACATGTTCTCTGTATTCGGTTCTCAACAGACCCTCATTTCATCCTCACCGATCACAAGACAACTACTGCATTTCGCCGGAGGTTGTTTTCAACAGCCAATATCATGTCAGATGTGAATGCAGTATGATATCTTTGGTAAATCTAGTGAGTGATCTTATTTGCTTTGGCTTGACATGCTCTGCTCCAATCTGACTCTATCGTATCTGATGTGATATGCCCTGCCCTGTCCTCCCCTTCGTCCAAGCTGCAATTGTCTGACTTACAGAACTGAACAAAGACCAGTAAACATGATTTGAAAATGGATGTAGCCTTTTTCCTCAAGCCTATTTCCTCCCGTCAATCAGATGTGCATTTTTTTAAGGGGCAACTCCGTCACTTTAACACAAAGCTGATGGCAGAGCACAAAGTTTGTTCTGAGGCTTTGATGCATCACTATTTCCTCATAAAGTGATTCCCTTCCAGGTTCTTCTCTTAGCTGCGCATCAATTGCTAGTCGAAGGTGGGGCAGAAGAATGAGAAGGAGGTGTCGGCGATATGGAAATAGTTGGAGAGGAAACGCATTAGAGAGTCGGTAGGAATGGAACGATCGACTTTATCAGTGTCTGGAGGAAAAAGGGTGTTAGTATT